TGCGCCCCAACGTGGTGGAGGTGATAGAATGATCCTGCGTACGTCAAAGCAGTACGTGACAGTGCGAGAACTGTTTGAGATGACGTGTGTAACTTGTGCAACCTGTTGCCTGAATAGAAGTATGAAGGTTGACCGAAAGTAACACAACACACAGACGAAATCTACGCGCGTTATTCTTTTTAACGTCGCATCAAGTGGGATGCGAGACTAAGGTGCGTCCTATTTAGTTTGCGTTGGTGTCTTCGTCGTTCTCGCATCGTGGCGGTATCGGCATTCACAACGCTCGATCGGCGTGGTTTTGGTGCATCGTTCCTCAGAGGAGTTCAGCGGTGCGGCAATTGTGTATCGTGGTAAGGATACATGGTCCCCGCCAGCCTCTCCAAACATCCTCATCGTCACTGTTGATCGAAATTTATGGCAAAATCTAGATTAATGCTAAGTGGTTCTCCAGTAGTGACATCGCCCTTTTTTCTGTTCAAAGAAAAAAATTATGTGAACTCAGAAATCTGTGCTCTGGTAATGAATTCGCGTGTAACACGTTGAAATCAACACTGCATTGAGCTAACTTTGTTTAGACGTGTCCCTTGCACTGAAACAAGCTTGAGGATAGAAAATATGGTTCATGTAGTTCGGCAAAAGACGCTCCGCGAAACAGGCACTTCTAACCGATAATCTGAAATAATGGCAAGCTTTCTTTTTTCTGACTTCTCTCTTGGTGACTCGAGCCACTACCGACACCATTAAACTCAACTCTCTTCTTATCCCCCAATCCCCCCTAAAGTCGACCGCTGACCGAAGTGAATTATTCTTCCAATGTCTTCCTCAGCGCTCTCAATGAGATTACGCTCTTCGTGGGATATTACCCTGGTATAGACTCCGTGTTCTCAATCTGCTACCGAGCGCGCGTAATCCGCAAGCCACATACCTCTTGTATCCACAGGGCCATGCGAAGTAAGAAGGTCAAGAAGGCCACATAAATCTTGTATCCGCAGAAACGAAAAAAATAACGAGTGCTGGAAAGTGTCCGCTAACCTTCTCATACTTTTTTTCTATTTTTTCGTGCAAGGGGTGCTTCTGGCATTGTGGCTTCCTACGTCCCACGTTATGACATACTTCCTTCCGACCGGTGCTGCGCTGTATTGGCTTAGTAGCGTTAACAATGAACTAATCCGCTTTGTTGCTAGGTAACCGCCCTTTAAGTCGATGCTGCCGTCATAGTCAGACGCGATATTATTTTTCCCGATTGCGGCATTCTTCCGCCACATCGATTTCATTTTTTTTTCTTCACAAGCGGTAATTGCGATACTCGGCTTGCGACGCACGAGAAGAACCAAAGCTGCGGCGCCGGTTCGTCTGAACCGTATAGCAGTAATGAGCCGGTTAGCACTGCGCTCATTAGGAAGGCTTTTATGACGCAAGCAACTCGTGAGTTAGCTATACTGGATGGTTATTGGTTGAGTTGGTGCGTCATAACAGAGAAACCGCGAGAAACACAGGGACTATTAGGTGACACTCTTGCTAATCTTCTAGGCATTTCCGTTCCGTTCTTCTCTTCTTGCACCGGCGTGTCTCCTTAGTCGAGCGTGGCTTTCTCTACGTAGTGCGTTGCTAGGAGACAACGTTGCCGTGTACAGCTCGCGTTGGCCAGCTGATCTTTCCAACCAGATTTCCACTAGTGAAGCTCCTAATGGCCTCATGATGTCCATCTCTCTTCAGTCCCGCCGGGCGGCATGGACAGTCGAAGCGCAAGGGCAAAACACGTGCGTTTAAAGTTGCTTACAGAACGTACGTAGCGCACGTACTATTTAAAAAGCCCACAATGCCGCAAAAACGCCGCTAACAAATCTCCTATTTATTAAAACACATATCAGGGCAAAATGTTAACAACAACAAAATGAAAGTTTGCTAATGAGAACCAAATAGAAGACAACAACTTATGATCCAATGCACATTGCTTTGCCCTATTTTGCGCGTTCACTTCGTAGACCTGCTTGATATTTCGGCTCGTTGTGTGAGAGGCTTGTGTGATCTTTCCTCTAGTAAAGCACCACGTACTATAAATCTCTAACCACTTTTTCTAAACCGCACCATATCGTATTGTTCAAAATATTCGAAGTTATCAACACTTTTCGTTTTTTGAGTGCACGCAATAGAACTGTTTGCCAAAAACACAAAGAGAGAATGTTGCGTGTGAGTAGCTTTGTTATTGGTGGAAAAACACTGAAATTGGCGGCAAAACACTGCCCTCTCGTTTCTTCTCGATCTCCTTCACACTCTCTTTTGAAATGTGGCGCCACCTGCCTTGCTCTCGTACAGCCGGCACCCTTTCACAAATAGAGTGGTTGCTTGCCAGGCAGCACGCTGAGAGCATTCGCGCCAGCCGTCTAACTAATCCTGAAGTCACTCAAATGAGTGAAGCGTTGACCAAAGATATTGGCCCATGACAGCTCTGTGTAGTGCCACATAGTGCATTGATTAACTGGAGAGAGCATTCACAATGACTATCCGTGAAAGCACCAACTCACGTTGACTCGGTCGACGCAGTACAGCCATGCTGCCGACGGCCAATATTGGCGTTTGGTGAAGCATCTAATGTTTTCACCTTAATTAGGCACCAGAAGGCGTACATCAACTAGAGTTGATGCATTCGAACAGCCTTGCTTGTTTTGTGAAGTGGTTTAACGCACCAATGATATTCCGAAAGTGCGCCGTATGGACGTACCGGGCATACTAAATATTGGGTCAGATGATGGCTTAAGTGTCGCTCACTGAGTAAAAAAAGATGATTTTTTACTCAGTGAGCGACACTTAAGCCATGATATCTGCAAAACGAGCTTCCGGAACGTTGTCGCTTGAAATGATTGACCTCCACCTTCTCGGAGCAGTTTTAGCCACCCCCTGAAATATACAACAGACCGTGAAAAGTGAAGGCGTGGCCAGTCGCCACACAGGTTTTTAAATGTCATTTCTTGCCAGAAGGAAGTTACAGAGAGGCAAATTTGCTCTTGTTCAAACGAGGCGATGCATTTGAAATTGCACAAAACAAGAAAAATATTTTTCATCCTTTTTGCTTACTCATTACCCTTCAAAGAAGTTGTGCGCCGTTTCTCCCATGGCAAATGTCGACCGAAAACAAGCCGTGAAATAGTCTACATGCCACTATAACGAAAATTGTCATGCCGAAATAAACAGAAAAACAAGACTTACACCATGTCCTACTAAAGAGAACCATGTGTGTATGCGAAGCAGCGGGCACTAACGCTTACACTGGCGACGACGTTGATGCTTGCGCTCATTGCGGTGTTGCGCAGGAGGAAAACCTGGAGAAGTGTAAAGCACGTCGTGATGGACCGGTCTTTCCTAGTACAACGTGCCAATCGCTGCTAACGGGCACTGAGAGACAGACGACTCCGATTGGACGCAGAGACCCGCAGTCCGATTATAGCTAATGCTCCCTTCTGCGAATTTTTTCATTGTTTAACAACCTGCAGGAGAAATCTCAAACTGACACTAAATTGAGGTCAAGATCCGATGCCTATATATACGAGGTGGTCAGTGAATCGTTGTGCAGTGCGAGTGGTTGGTTTTTTTTTTTTTTCAATTAAGACTTGGGAACATAGATGCGCTGATGTTTGTTTCCCCTATTATTCAAATGCAATAGTGTATTTGTATATAGTATTAGTAAACTTATGTTAAATAGAATCTCGCTGGCAAACGCTGTGTCGGCGTTGTGAAGTGAGAGAGGAGGCATTGTAGGAGACGAGGTGGAGTGGAGGGACGTGCAAGCGCAATGGAGGTATAAACGCCGCGGGGAGCAAGTGCATAGAGGGAAGAAAGGAGGAGCGAGCGTAGGTTAGCAGACGATTCCTGCGTCGGCATTGCGAGGCCGAAGGGAAGCGTACGCGCATGCTCTGTAAGGGTGGTTGCACCATACACCGGATTGAACTCGACCCTAAGCTGCTTCGAATCTAATCTTGTCCAAAAGCAGCGCGTGCGCAATCCTAAAAGAAGGCTTATTTTGCAACGGCGCACTGATGAAGTTTTCAAGCAAAGAGACTGAAAGAGACCTGTTTGGGTTTGCGTCCCTGTGATCTGATAACATTGTATCCGGATTTGGTCGCCGAGCAGGACAGGCCTAGCGTAGAGGTATACCTGCCCACGCGGTCGATTGCTGTTTGTAGGGTTTCTTCGATTTGGCCATCACTACCTCTTGTAACCCACAGGGTGAGGTTATCTCCGTAGACTGTAAACTGTAAATACTGCTCGCAATAGGCCACCCTCATACACATGGCATGGACGTGCTCACAGTACGCTGACGCTTCTCACACAGAAGATACGTGGGAGTCCCTTCTGCATATCACTGACTCGGCACAGCAACGCCGGGTAATCTCACGCGCATCGGAGGCCGCGGTGTCCCAAGGTATCCCCGCTGACCTCCTCTAAGCAGTGTAACCGACCTCTCGGCCGGTCCCCTCTTTTGTGAGTGATAAAGTTTTGATCATCATCATCAAGTAACGAGCTACCGTAATGGCGCAACGGGAGAATTCCCTGGAGTTCCCGAATCAGGCGTGACAGCTTTCGCCGAAGAAGAGCTTCCAGTCTGGCCTGAGCAAACGCGACTGTACGCCTTCGATAGGAAAGCATTAAGGAGTAGCAGGCAGCCAACCCGCTGCCTGAAGCAACAGGTGGGTATGGACACGACGCGCTTGAATTATCGCTAAAGCCTCGAGCCCGCGCTGCTGCACAGGCGGCGCTGCTTTCCCTCGCATAGCGCCAGGATCGAAGCCGCCATCTGTTGCGCTTTCGGCGAGAATCCGCGCCAGACGGCGGATCCGCACCGGTAGCAAGGAGAAAGGATGGCTGGGAGAAAAAAAAAGCGCGCGAAAGCATGATGGAAAGAAGAGTGCCTCTACTGGCGCGCGTGCGCGTTAGGGTTCGTCCGGGGCGGCGCTTTATGACAAGGTCGGCGCTCACGGCGCAAGTATCTCTCAGTAACGCGCGCCGCTGGCCGAAGCCAGCGCCTGGCCGGGACCCGGAGTTCAGTCGTTCAGCGCCCGTGGCACCGTTCGAACGTGTTGTTTTGACGTGGTTCATCGACCCGTCGCTCGCGCTCTCTCCCGTCTGCTTCCCGGTTTCGTGACATTGAAAACTTGCGCTCTACTTATTTGGCCGACTTGAGCGTCTTTACAATCAGCTCTCTTGATGGTACTGGTGTGCGCGTCGCTCTAACTGTTCGGTTGTGGTAGAAGGAAATATCAGCTTGTAACCTGTCATCAGCGTTCGGATCTGTCTCTTTCCATTGTTCGTCTCCTGGAACTGCACCGTGAGTTTTGTACGTACTGCATATACTGGCTAGTCTGCAACTGTGTTCAACGGGACGCGCAGTCAGACAATATCCGGCAATCGACATTCAAGAAACTTTGCTTCGAGGTAGGCGAAAAAATTGGTGCGTGCAAACAATCCGTGATTTTTTTTTCTTCTAGACATTCCGTCAGGGCCTACGCTGTGCCACTCGTTTGTAGCGCCAATGCTTTTCGGAACTGTCAAAAAACTGAAAGCTGTGTTTTAACGATCGTCGCTCGGACAATCGTTCACCAGGTTGCCACAGAAACAGAGCTGTTAGATCGAGAGTGCGCATTGGCACTAGTGCTAAGAAGAGAAACATATCTTTTGAGATTTGTAACATTCAAGGAAAAAAAACAAGTTTACGCAATATTCCCCACGGCTGATTGAAAATGTTTCTAGATGAAAACTTAATACTCGCGGATCGTCAACGCTTTCAGTTGCCCGCTTATTTATTTGAATTTATCCGTGATTATCTAGCCATTTAGAAGGTTCGTGAAGATAGAGCTTGCTCTTTCACACTCTTGTTTGGTTGTCGCTTTATCGAGTGGCAGAGTGATTTTTCTGAGGACCTCACTGGGGTCATCACACAAGCGTCCCGGTCATTTGGTCACCTGTGGCGTCGGCCATTGGAACGCTGGACTTAGACCGTCGCACAGAATATTTTCGCTGTGCCAGACTGGACGGTGCTACTTGCCCTCTTGGACGGTACACAGTGCGTAGCAGATGCTGTGACTCTTGTTGGAAAACTGGTGCGCAAGCTCGGTGGAAAGAAATCGCTCCATCAAGCCCTGTTATACTGGTAAGTGTCTCCTGACTATTCGAATGCAGCTCAGTCGTGCCTGGTGAATATAGAAAGAAAAACTAGCTTTTGATTCCCCTATCAAATAGAAAAGTTTCCATTGCCTGAAAGATTCACTTGTGTGACTTTTTTTCGGTGTCCCAAAAACGTGTCATGGCTGAAATATATGTCAGGTAAGCGTCATGCGCCGGAAGCCAGCTTGCATCGCAATTCTAAAAATTCATTTCGCTTTGCAGCTGCGTGAACAATCTCTTTGTGCCCTGCCGCGGTGGTCTAGTGGCTCAGGTACTCGGCTGCTGACCCGCAGGTCGTGGGACCAAATGCCGGCAGAAGCGGCCGCATTTCCGATGGAGCAAAATGCTGTAGGCCTGTGTGCCCAGAATCAAGTGCACGGTAAAGAACTCCAGGTGGTCTAAATATCCAAAGCTCTTCACTACGCTGTCTCTTATAATCTTATCGTTGTTTGAAATTGGAGCGCAGTACGTAGATACGGACAGGATAGACAGAGAGGAGGGCTTATGGTGGGGCGTTAAACGCTACTAACAGTCGATCAATCTATTTGTGCTGATAATCGCACTCGATGTTATCACCGGGAATGCTTCGCGATTTGGGGCGGTAATTTTCCTATTACCAAGGTATATCAGAAAGACTCACTAAAACGCACAACGTGGAACAAACAGGCCAATGACGGCAACTGCCCACAGATGCGCGCACGCTGCTGACGTCAGAATTTGAAGCAAACAAAACCAGGCAATTTTTTGTCTATTGAAAACAAGGCTTCCTTGCGGGGCCTGGAAGACCTTTGACTTTGAAAAATGTTGTCCTTGTTGCCGGTTTCGATTGTTATTGTGAATCCATCATGGTGGCTCTATGGTTACGGAGTTCGGCTGCTGACATGAAAGGAGTGGCTGTCGCATTTGGCGGGGAAGAAATGCAGAGGCCCATGTACTGTGCATTGTGAGTTTGCTTCAAAGAGCACCAGATAATTGATATCTCCGCAGCCCTCCTCTATGGCACGCCTCAACCTCAAATGGTGCTTTTGGCGTGTAAAGCCGCATAAAAATGACAGCATATCCACGTGGTGATTGATGGAGAGTGGGGCTAAGCTGGGTGCGCTCACGGCTGCCGCTCCGCTTCGGCGTCCCGTTGTCGTACTGCAGGGTCCTCGCAGCGTGCTTCTGCCTCATGCGCCCACGAATCCGGATCCCTTCTTCGAGCGAGAGCCACCACCACCCTGCGCGCACGCCGCTCAGCAGCCTCGTTCATCTTCCATCGCCGAGCATCTTAATGTGAGCGCGCGCCAAAACGGCGCTGTCATTGTACTATGAAGCCCCCCTATTCGTATGGTGCCGCCGAAGAACACGTGATCGTAGTCGCGCGATCATCGCTCTCTCCTTCCATACGTATGACATCAATCCTTTTTTTAGAAGTTGCACCCTCTAGTGTCATACAATTTGCATTTATCGCCATTTAGTACAAGTACCGCCCTCTATGACCGGTTGAAGAGTTAACGAGGGGCGCTTACCGACAACGGGGACGCAGAAGCTTCACCGTAAAGAGCTTCGACTCTAAAATGTTCCTGTGGTATTTCTCAACCAGGCAAGCTTCCGTCCAACTTTTTTTACTACACAATGCTAACTGTAGTACATCTTAAAAGATCACCATGATATGCACAAAGCGAAGGATGTTAGAGGAGCTTCCTCGGAGGTGCACTGGTCACTTTTTGGTGAAACCATTTCTGTGGGAAGCATTGTTTACGAGCCGGCACATCATGTGTGCGCTAAAGGCACCGTTTACGGGCCCGTTCCGGGGCTGGAACTGCACAATGTTGGCTATGTCAATCGGTACGTTGATGACCTTCTTCTTTATGTCATATTGACCGCTGCAATCAGTTAAATGCTTAACGCTCATAAATGGCATACGTGGAGCTCCCAGGCGTTCTTCAACGGGGTTGAGAGCAGGCAGGTGAGGGGGCTTGGGAGGGTATAAGTACCCACGTGCAACACTCATCGCAGGAGCATGTCAGGTGCTGCCCTGCCTAAGAGGTGATGAGAACGAAGTGGTCGTAGTCACCAGGAGATGCGTGCACGGCCCATCAAAAAGAGACGCCTTGTAGAGTGTGTCAATGCGCGCACCCCCATTCAGAGTGCGGTCATTCTTTGAAAGGGTCGACGCCACCTCGCCGCGCGTGTCCGCCATGTTTTGGCCCACGTCGCGCTTGTGTAAAAATGTACGTGGCGCCTGCCGCTTTGTCGCCCGTCTGATTCGTCAGAATTCCCGCAAGATGACAGCATGCTGCGTAGCACACCGTGTGCAAACCATTCTAGAATTGGAATGCAGGTTTTTTTTTTTCAAAGCCATCCTGAAATAAAACATTTATTGAGAGTGAGAATAAAGAGTGAGAAGTGGCAGCTGACAAGTGCCTTTCGTGTATGCAGCTTGAACATTGTAAGCTTTTTTGCTGTTTTCTATCGCCTTTCTTTTTGCTACATCGAGTACTTAGTGGACGATTTCAGAAAATGCGTGTTTATTACTAGCAACACAGTCACAGATTACACTATTACAAGGTGTGTGCGAGGCTTCGACTTGGTGTTTGTGCGCGTACTTGTTGCACCTTAACACGATCGAACGTTGAGCGAACTGATATACCCAAACTGTTTCTTGGCATTTGAACCGTTCTCGAAATTTTGGTGTTATTTGTGAGGTGTGCTTGGCAATAGTACTTTAGTTGCCACGGACATCTTCCTCTTGTTTTGTCTTATGCATGAAGGTGTGATTATGAAATTGACGCGTCTATAATTAACTGCGAAAATTCACTTCTAGTTGCATTTTCTTGCGGAGCAAGATCTACAAATACAAAATTTGGTGGTCATGCTCACATTGTTTACGGTAGTACGTTTTGACAGCATGTATCGACCAGTGATAATACGCGTGCTGCTTAACTGCTTGATGCCTTGATGATATAGATACACTGACTAAATATTATGCACTATCGTACATCGATTTTTTTTTCGCATTCATGCGTAGAGATACACGCAATTGCGTTCAGACATGTGTAGTATTTAGGATTTGTTTGTAGTTCAAGTAGGCACTTTTTTTGATTGCATGATTTTTTTTTCATTGGATCCCACGGCACCAACGAGGAGAGGGCGGCGGAACAGCCAACACACTTAAAGTACAGAAGTTTTTCATAGTGTTTAGAGAAAACCACGTGGGGTTCCGAGATTACCAGAAAATGATCTACTGCGGCAATAAGATCAAATGATCGCCTGCCTACGGCTGTACAAAGCCTAATTTGCATATGCACAGTTATATCTAAGCTGTATAAGAAAGTGTTTGAATGTCATTGGTGCATATGCATCCATTAGCAAATAGCGGAGTCTTTGCAGGTATAAAATCAGAACATGTCGAAGCGAACCGGCATTTTCCGCCGACCTCCTCTGAAATAGTGCAACCAGTCTCCTCCAATTTGTTATTTTAAATGGGAAGCATTTCATAGCGAGCTTCGGCGACATTGAGCGCATCTATCTATCTATCTATCTATCTATCTATCTATCTATCTATCTATCTATCTATCTATCTATCTATCTATCTATCTATCCATCTATCTAGCCGCCTACTACTTTTAGCTCTCCTGGCCGTTTCGATAATGGTATGGATACCAAACTTGGTATGGCATAACATGACTGTATGGAGAACATATTTGACTAGTGATAACATGAAAATCCGCGACCTGCAACATGAAAATCAATATAGATACCCGAGTACCTTAGCCACTAGACCACTGTTGTTTGCTTTGTTGTTGAAATAGCACATCATCGCAAGACTATAATGCCGCATACCTCGCTCTTTCTCGTACAGGTGAATTACAGTAGAGGAACCGACTAGAATTGGTCTCTAAAATATAATATATACCGTAGTACTGACGCTCCAAATATTTGAGACACATACGTTTTTTTCTAATAATTCGCCTCTTATTTTTGTGGGGTTAAAACTAACAAAATCACATCTTTCGTCTCTCTTTTCGTGCATGTGTTTCTAACCTACTTCATAACCCTTAAAAAAACTACTCAATCCTGATTTTCCGCAACATTGTTTTGAATGATGCTAAGTGATGGTGAATCGTAATAGAGAGGATAAAAAAGAGCACAGCTGACATCGGTGCTGACAATGGTGAAGATCTGATAAAAAATATCGAGCCAACGGGGCAATATGAGTGCGTGCATATAACCCTCGGAAAACAGGAACAAATATCGCAGGACTGGCGCTGTAAACTCTTCAACTGGCATATCGACTGAAGAAGCTCATTTTACTATTGGTAATATCAACGCGATCGTCTTAATTGAAGAGATGTGGTAGGCTCCGATGCAAAGGTTAAATATTTGGACGCGGTGAGCAGCAATGAGGTTTTCTCTCTGTGCTCTCACGTGTCAACTGATTCGCAAACTGCCCACGAATTCCATCACGTCTTTGACGCTCCAGGTGACATTTGCTGCAACGAATGCGTCAGGGCTTTTGGTATATTTAAGAGGCATCGACAATCAACTGCCCTGTTAAAGGTCATGGTAAAGTAACGGATTAATCCACGGGGAATGCAAATGCATAGAAGGCAGATGTTAGTTCTTGCTTGATCCAAACGGCATCCCTGAACTTGGATAAGGGCTAAGGATCACAAACGTTGATACAAGATACGGCCTTATAAAGAGGTTGGTCAGTCAGTAGGCCTGTATTTTTACACAGACTGCGAACGATATTGCCACCAGCACGTAGTGGGTTGACAGCAAGAGCGGCTCTCAATCTGGAGAAAAAAAGAAGATCGCGTGCTTCTTCTCTGCTTGAGAGCCAGCCACGACTGACGCACCGTCCTAGTGCTAGCTACCTGGTGGTTTAATAAATCCCCCAGTACTTGTGACTCATCGTGACAAACTGGTGGAAGTGCTGGGTAGTCTCACGGATGCTGCAGACCCCCCCCAGGAAGCTGCGATACGAGTCCAGTGCCA